TCTCTCTCTCTCTCTCTCTCCACGGTCGTCAGCCTCGCTCTACCACGGCTCAGGTGGCGTGCACGTGACGAAGGCTCGTATTAAACACACACATTCACTTTACCCGAGGTTCGTGTGTGTGTGTGTGTGTGTGTGTGTGTGTGTGTGTGTGTGTGTGTGTGTGTTTACACCCCTAACACACTCAGGGGCCCGGGGCAGAGGTGTGTTGTTGGGCCCCTGGGGAACCCCGGAAACAACCAGTGCTCTCCTGGTTCAACAGCTGACTAGTCACCTGACAGAATTAATTCATTGTTCATTAAGTCATTTAAAAAAACTAAACAAAAACTCTCAACTCAACTTTATTTATATAGCACTTTACCACAGCACAGCTGACCGAAGTGCTCAACGTACGTACAAGTCTAAAATCATAACAGCATCACTAAAAATAAAAACAATAAAACAAACACTAACACTACAGACAGAGTCTCATTCCTGGCCAAACGCCAATGAATAGAAGTAGGTCTTCAAATAAGACTTAAAAGTAGACAGTGAGGGGGGGCTGCCTAATATAAAGAGGCAAAGCATTCCACAGGTTCGGACCCACCACAGTGAAGGATCTATCCCCCCTAGTTTTACGCCTGGCCCTCGGTGCCTCCAGAAGAAGCTGATCTGAGGCACCGCGACGGGTTATATGGACGTAAAAGTTCCACAAGATAAGATGGTGCCAGCCCATTTAAGAACTTATAAACAAATAAAAGAATCTTAAAACGAACCCTAAAACGCACCGGAAGCCAGTGAAGAGATGCCAGAACTGGGGTTATGTGGTACCTCTTATGCCCCCCTACCATTCTGGACCCTCTGGAGGCGGCCAAGACCCGATTGACTAACTCCAGCGTACAGTGCATTACAGTAGTCCATACGAGATGTAATAAACACATGGATCACTGTCTCCAAATGCTGCTGCGACAAAAAGGGTTTTAGTTTCACTAACTGCCTTAAATAGAAAAAAAAAAAAAGATTTTACGACCGCATTTATCTGGCTCTCCATTTTCAAATCGGAGTCTAAACACAGCATGTATTTTTC